CCAAGGTTTGACCCAGTCATACACATAGTTATGGCACACTTTGTGAAGATGCGCCATTACTATGTCAACTTAGTAATGGCGCACCTATACAAAGTGCGCCATTACTATGTGTATGACTGGGTCAAACCTTGGTCAAACTTAGTAATGGCGCACTTTTCACCTGGTGCGCCATTACTGTTCTGGTTACTAATGGCGCACCTACACATGGTGCAGCATTACTATTTAGTAATGGCGCACTATATGTATACTGCACCATTAGTGTCCATATTGGCTATAGGTGTTTTTGTAGAAGTGAAACCCTAACAGTTCGGTCACACCGACACGGATCTCGGTCCCAATGAGATGGCCTTGCCAGCACTCTGTGATCTATTGCATTCACTTTGGTCCCACCGATTTTATGTAATCGATCTCACCAAGTTGGCTTGCCAGATTATCTTTTGCTTATTGCTTTAATTCTGTCTCACCGAGTTGATGCAATCGGTGCCAACGAGATGAAGTTTGCCCTAAGTCCTAGCACATCGATCTCACTGAGTTGTTCCAATCGGACCTATCGAGATTCCTAGCATTCATATTTTTGAACAGATCGGTGCCACCGAATTTCCTAATCGGTGTCACCGAGATGAGTCAAAAGTGTGTAACGGTTGGATTTTGTGTGGAGGCTATATATACCCCTCCATCACCTCTTCCTCTTTGAGGAGAGCCATCAGAACGTGCCTACACTTCCACCATACATTTTTCGAGAGAGAACCACCTATTCATGTGTTGACATGAAGAGATTCCACTCCAACCACTTAAACCTTGATTTCTAGACTTCCCCAAGTTGCTTTCCACTCAAATCCCTCTTCCACCATAGCCAAATCTGTGTGAGAGAGAGTTGAGTGTTGGGGAGACTATCTTTGAAGCACAAGAGTAAGGAGTTCATCATCAACACACCATTACCTATTGGAGAGTGGTATCTCCTAGATTGGTTAGGTGTCGCTTGGAAGCCTCCTTCATGATGTCGAAATGAACCAAGAAGTTTGTAAGGGCAAGGAGATCGCCTACTTCATGAAGATCTACCCGAGTGAGGCAAGTCCTTCGTGGACGATGGCCATGGTGGGATAGACAAGGTTGCTTCTTCATGAAACTAGTCGAGTGCTCCATGGACTCGCACAGTCGTTACCCTTTGTGGGTTGATGTCTGTATCAACGTGGATGTATGATAGCACTACCTATCGGAACCACGCCAAAAAATCTCCGCGTCTCCATTGCGTTTGCATACTTCAATCCCATCCCTTTACATTCTTACAATTGCATGATTTACTCTTCCCGCTGCCTATACTCTTGTCATGCTTGCTTAAGATGTATTGAATGTTCATTAACTTATGTTAAAGTTAAACTCAACCTTAACTGAAGAATCTAAAGACTTCCACTTTTGCTTGTCAAGGTCTAGTTGATATGTCTCCAATGTATCTATAATTTTTTATTATTCCATGCTGTTATATTATAATTCTTGGTTGTTTTACCATTAGTTCATAGCAACTTTATATCATTTTTTGGGACTAACTTATTGACATAGTGCCAAGTGCCAGTTGTTGTATTCTGCTTGTTTTTTACATTACAGGAAATCAATATCAAACGGAGTCCAAACGCAACAAATTTTTTTGTCAATTTTGTTTGGACCAGAAGACATCTAGTGGGCCAAAGAAGTAACGAAGAAGGGGCCCAAGGTGAGCACAACAGACCAGGGCGCGCCTGGAGGCCCTAGCACGCCCTGATGAGTTGTGCTCACCTCGGTGACCTCCCGCACCCTCTCTTTGCTCTATAAATACCCCAATATTCCAGAAACGATAGGGAGTTGATGAAAATCAATTCCAGCTGCCGCAAGTTCCAAAACCACCAGGTCCAATCTAAACACCATCACAGAGGGTTTCATATCATCCTCATTGGTGCCTCTCCAATGATGCGTGAGTAGTTCATTTTAGACCTACGGGCCCGTAGTTACTACCTAGATGGCTTCCTCTCTGTCTCTGTATTCTCAATACAATGGTCCCTTGGAGATCTATTTGATGTAACTCTTTTTGCGGTGTGTTTGTTGGGATCCGATAAACTTTGAG